TACCGGATACATTTCGGGGAGTGTGCGGGGGAATTGCACAACTTGATTCCCCCTAGTCCTTTCCATCATCGTACCACAAGACAATCCGCGAAGCGTCACCGATTCATGGTAGATGTTCCGCCCACACGCACGAAGCGCTTCCCTTCAAGCTTCCTTGTGCGTACTGCTAAAGAGTGGAATTCTTTGCCAGAGTCTGTATTTCCTGAAGGGTATAACCTGGGAGTCTTCAAGGCCCGAGTGAATAGGTTGCTTATGGGACGACGTGCTCCAACGTAGACCGCATCATCGCTTACCATCAGGTGAGATAGTGGTCAAACGTCGACCCATCAATTATAAAAAAAAAAAAAAAAACATCAAATCAATTTCAATAATTGACGAATCAACTAAAATAAAAATATGTACGTCGAGCGAGCGAGGCGAGTCGTCCCGAGTAGGTAATTACCTACTTTGTCAGCGCGGACGCCGGGGCTCCGGTAGCGGCCGGTCTGTGTGTAGGTATAGGTAAGGGTGTGTGTTTACAAAACATGCGGAGGCTTAAGGCCGTATATATATACGAATGTGGAAAAGATTTTGTGTGGTAGGTAGGTACCTATGGTATGAATGTGGGATTGTAATTTCTATATAAATATATTATAATATTACAGCTATATCTGTGGTCTGTGACATGCTTCACCTTTTTTATAATATGCGATAATAATTATTTTAAATGTGCAGTTATGATGAAGTCGGTAAAAATAATCTCGTACCCAATCGATCACGATTACGATCTGGAATACTAACTAATAATAATTGTAGTTAAAATTACAAGGTACCTAATCCTATTCATCTTATGAACATATAAATATACCTAGTAAGTAATCAAAGTTTAGGTAAGTACCTAACCTAACAAACGATACCCAATGACTGGTTTTTCGTAGGTATATATAGCCCCATAGTTAATAGTTACACGACTATTATTATAGTTATTAGATAGATACGGTACACACAAATCTTACAACAGTAGCGTAGTTGCAGCAGTGACACGAATAAACAGGTTTACAGGCGCGCGTTTTTCGCTTGCCGCTGCTTCGCTCCGAGGCGTGGGGCCCCTCGCACCACACCCCGCACACCCCTAGCTTTACGTCCCGCAACGGTCAAATCTAAGTTTTTCGGTACCGTTATCGCATAAAGGTTAAATACCGGTATAGCTTTAATTTCGGTACACTTATTTTATACCGGTACCGTACCGTTATACCTTAACCGCTTTCAGTCCCTGAAATAAACGATTATAAATGATTATGTTATGATTTTTAAACCAGTATAGAGATTAGCTTATTCGTTAAATATAATAGGCCAAAAGTGGATGTAAGATACATTTTTGAATACTAACATAACATAACATCACCCCTTTTATCCTCGTAGGGGTAGGCAGAGGTGCACATTACACCACTGTACAATGTAACACCCACTTTTCACTATTTATATTATGAGTCCCATGTAACAGGGGGTGAGCCTATTGCCTTATACCGGGCACAGTTCCAGACTTCGTGCTACTACTGAGTTTTTTTTTAAAACCCAATAATACTTTGCCCGACCCAGGAATCGAACCTGAGATCCCTTGCCTGGCAGTCGCAATTGCGATTACTCGGCCAACCAGGCAGTCAAATGCTCGTTTTGAATACTAATTAATCTAAAAAGGTTTAAAGATGAGCTCAATTTAATAACACTGCATAAAAATATTCACCCAAAAATGAACCTTAGATAGTTGTACGTATATAATAAACGCATTAACTGAGATTCCTATGCACAAAATTAATTACAAACCAAAGAAAAACAACTAGACTACACCATGATATTCGAATTTCCGAAATTGCCCGGACATTACCGAATATTCCCGAAGCAAAATGTTTGTAACGTTAATACGCCGAAGACTCGAGGGTTTAATACCTTAGCCTAGCGCTCACCACAAGCGCTGTTAAGGGCCTAGAATGACACCAAATTAATTAGTACGCTTATTCACTTTACCTACCCCCTATACACAGAGCCAACGGAAGGTGAAATAGCAGTTTTATACTCATTTGTTAGAGCGTATTTTTCTTTGGCATTGTTTGAAGTTAATAAGGAGGTTTTTGCTCGTTATTTTCTATAGGAATTTTCAGTTTGGATCGAGCTACTAGACTAGCTCCACTATCATGCATGACAAAGGATTTGTAATGAGGTTGCAATGCCAAAATATTTATTAGAATAGTCCGACTCTTGTTTTGTTTTAACTTCTTCCATATTTTGTTGTTTGAGATACCTAAAAGACAATAGGGATGATGACTGAAAATTAAAAATCTAATTAGTCCGTCAATTAGGTAATGAAAAACTATTAGACAAGTATTTTTTTATTTTAACTCGTCGAGTACCGTATTTATAGACACAATTAAAGAACAATAGGTTGCGGTCACCGGTGACCGCTTGATGTTTGACAGTTTAATGTATATTAAAATGATACTTAGATATAACGAATCAAAGTTTAGGAGTGGGGGTTATAACGTCATTTCTACGTATAAAATGTACATAGAAGTGACGTCACGCGACATTTCAAATCAATATATCGTCGAAAGTATTCGTTTCTGTCAAAAAATAAAAAATATTTGTGTAATATTTTAAAATAATTTACCCGACGGATATTAAAATAAAAAAAAAAATTGTCATCTACCCTATTATGTGTTTGTCAAAATTAAACTTTAAAGACCAGAGATATAAGGCGTTTTCAACTGACTACAAAAAAGAAGGGTCTTAATTTGACCTGGATGTATATAAGTATGTTTGTCCGAGATTATCTCGCAATTGACTGAACCGATTCTAATACGGTTTCAGAAAGTTTTTTTTACACTAGGAGATGGCTTTAGTACTCGTTAACTATGTAACTAGAGAATTGTATTGTAAACCCGATTGAAAAAGAGTCACCTATGGAGTTTCTTGCTCGTTCTTCTCCATAGGAATCTACACCTTAGATGAGCGAATAGCTACACGTTTAATTTTTTGTTGACGTTCAATAGTTACTTGCTGGTCTAATTGAAACAAATAATTTTGACTTTGATTTTTGAGTATATTAACCGAATTCCAAAAAAAGAGGTGGTTGAATTCGGTTTCTGAGACGTCACTACATAGTATAAAACAAAAAAACTATCCGCCATCTGTCTGTCCTTATGTATGCTTAGATCTTTAAAACTACGAACGGATTTTGATGCAGATTGTTTTTAATATTTAGAGTGATTCTTAAGGGAGGTTTATATGTATAATACATACATATTGCACCCGTGCAAAGCCAAGGCGGGTCGCTAGTAATTTATATAAAAATAATTTTATTCCCTAAAAAGACATACAAAAATGTTCCTATCAAAAAGTCAACTAGCACTTCTCAATTCACTCCGAAAAGACACAGCTGTCACATTATAGGGATCAATAAGTAATCCCTTGAAACCCATTCTATTTAGTTTCTCAAGATATGTGACCCCAAACCGAGAGGAATTAACATGGGTACCCAAGATTATTGGTTTTCCCAAAGTGTTCTTACGAAGAAACTTCGTAAATCTAAGTTCAGCTAACTCTATCTCCTGAACAAAGGGATGAATGATATTTTGTAAATATGTCTCGCTCTTATATGCAAATAGTTTCTATTTATGGGCGTATCGAGGTTGGTTTGTGTTGGAACTTTCATTTGTGGCACATAACATCACGCCTTTTATCCCCGGAGGAGTAGGCAGAGGTCCACATTACGGAGCTTAATGCCACGGTATAATGTAACACCAAATTTTCACTATTTATGTTATGAGTCCCATGTAATAGAAGGTGAGCCTATTGCCATATACCGGGTACAATTCCAGACTCTGTGCTGGTTCTAGATTTAAAGTTTGATTCTAGCATCCGAAGTGGAAGATGTTACAACCACTATAAGGTACCAATAAGAATTAAAAATGTAAGTGCCTTAATTGCTAACCTAAGTACCAAGTACACTTAGGGCTTCACTAGTTAATCTGGTTAAGAGCTATTAGGGAGATGCTACAGCCTAAAAATCTTTGCCTTGGTTTGTTAGGGGCAAAGGAACTGCTTGACAGTTTTCTAACGGTTTGATAGATAAATGGTAAAATACTAGTCGGACTGAATCATCCGACTCCAGTTGTTGGACTTCGAGTTCAATACACTGACTTTTTTCAATAGAACTATGAGAAAATATGGATTTAACATATGTTTTTGTTCAATAGAAGTATATGAAATTAACATATGTCCGATTGTTCTTCTTCCTAGTCGTCTTCTTCATTACTGAAGGTCGTGTCTAGTCTGGTGCACGCGTCACTTGATGCACAACTCTCCTCCAAACGCCACTGTCCTCTGCGGTCTTTATGGCTTGTGGAACTGTCAGGCCGATTAAGTTTTTTACAGAATCCAACCACCGGGTAGGTGAGCGACCACGAGGTCTTTTCCCGTTAACCCGACCGACAACCACAAGCTTCTCCAGATTATTGGAGTCTGTACGCGCAATGTCCGATTGTTACTTAGCTGTAAGTTCACGAATGTCCTTTTCATACATTTTTAAAATGTTATCTTATGCGAGTCTTTGAGAGCCGTTCATACTATGACTGTTCTCATCTTTGAATTGATTAGAATTTATAATATCATTTGTCTAATGCAACTAAACGATATAATAGTGTTGTCTCGTATTCGTGTGTAGCGCAGATATTTGAATTGTACAGTTTGACTTGAAGGTACAAATCATTGGCTTAATGGTTTAATTTTACAGTTTGACTGTACATTTAAATCGGTTGAACTGCACAGTTTTACTTAAAGGTGTATAAGCTATACAATGCAGCCTACGGATCTATACGGATCTACGATTTGGTTATACAGTTAGACTGTACATTTCAAATTGCACAGTTAAATCGTAAGGTATGTAGCCTGCATTAAAGATGGGAGGCCTACATTATATTTGATTAGCGTAATAACTAAATAAAAATATAGGAAAGTACACTTGCCTCTGAATGCTGTAAGTGAATGGCCTGAAACCTTTGGTCTGAACTGTATGTGGTCAGGCCAACTGTTAGTAGGTGGTAGTCTTTTCTTCTTATCCATGATACCTGAAACAAAAGACACGATTCTTTAGATGTCTGATGGGCTCAAAGCACACACACACACGCGCGCACACACATACACACCTACACGCACACACACTTATGTATTGTAGACTGTAGTTATATGGAGACTGTAGACTGTAGTTTGCAGCCAGTAAATCAATATAACATAACATCACGCCTTTTATCCTCGAAGGGGTAGGCAGAAGTGCACATTATGCCACTGTACAATGTAACACCCACTTTTCACTATTTATGTTATGAGTCCCATGTAATAGGGGGTAAGCCTATTACCATATACCGGGCACAATTCCAGACTCCGTGGTACTACTGAGATTATTTTTAAAAACTCAGTAATACTTTGCCCGACCCGGGAATCGAACCAGAGACTCCTTGCCCGGCAGACGCACTTGCGACCACTCGGCTTTATCTTTAAACAACGTTATTAAAATATATTCTTACCCAGTATTAAATTTCACAAAACTATTACAAACTGTGGAACTTCAAATAAATTCTCCTATAAAACATGTACCTTTTAAGAGAAAACTCTTAACCGTAGTTAACGAGGGCTTGTAACTCCAGACCTGGGTGTTTGCCAATGTGTTTAAGTAACACTGAGACTAATTTATCGGAGACTGCAATGTTGCAAAATGGCCGGTTTTACACCGATATGTTACGTGGTGTTGTTGAGGTTGATATTTAATACTGTGTGAGAGTAAGTGAACGGTGTTCTATAGTGATGATACTAATACATATAATACTAGCTGACCCGGCAAACGTTTTGCTATATAAATAATTACTAAAATGGCTATTTAAAAATAAGGGTTGTTCGTAGAAGGGTGAAAATTGAGGATTGCATGTTATTTTGTATGTCATATCATTAAAAAATAGAAATTAAAATTTTGTCTAAAAAAAATTTGACACTAACATATAAGGGGATTAAAAATAGATGTTGGCCGATTCTCATAGATACCGGATAAGCTTATAATTTCTAATTATAGAGGTAAGTTTCAAATGGTGATTAATATTCAAACCATCTCCCTGTGAGGAGAGGCGTTTGGTCAGCAGTGGCCACTTGTAGGCTGTTGACGAAGACAATAAATTAGAAGTCAAATACATTCTCAATCAAATCAAATAAAGAAAGTTCAGTTTTTGAACTTAAAATGACATCTAAGTACATATGAGTGAAACTCCTATAAAATTATTTTTTCAATCCTTATTTTTATCCTAATACTTAGATTATTATCGACAGTTGTGTCCATAAAATCTAATTATACCACGATTGGAAATACTATTCTAACCCTAAGTTCAACTTTACGGTTCAAAGGATAAAATAAATTATAATGAAGTCGGTAAAAATAGTAAATTACACACATAAATCCAGCTTCAAACTTAAACATGAGCAAAACCACAGGGCTAGCTCGCTAGTAAAAGAAAATCAATCATTCCGGTGTGTGACTACAACTATTTTTCACACTTAAAACGCTTCAGTGGGCCTGAAAATACAGCTCGGTTGAAGTCTAGCACTGAAAATAAATTGCAGTACCAATTAATTTAATAGACTAGGCTAGGTTAGACTTAAATATATCGAGGTACAGGCAATTACATTATTTGATAAACAGATACGAAAACCAAAATTTCATGTTTTTTTATGTTTTGTTAGGATAAGCCGGGGGAATGTGAGTGTGCGGGGGAATTGCACAACTTGATTCCCCCTAGTCCTTTCCATCATCGTACCACAAGACAATCCGCGAAGCGTCACCGATTCATGGTAGATGTTCCGCCCACACGCACGAAGCGCTTCGCTTCAAGCTTCCTTGTGCGTACTGCTAAAGAGTGGAATTCTTTGCCAGAGTCTGTATTTCCTGAAGGGTATAACCAGGGAGTCTTCAAGGCCCGAGCGAATAGGTTGCTTATTCCCATAAGCAACCTATTGACTCGGGACTTGAATACAAGTTGCAGGTCGTGGTATACGGTTCATAAAACACAGACTCTGATAAAGGACTCCACTCCTTAGCAGTTTGCACAAGGAAGCTTGAAGCGAAGTGCTTCGTGCGAGTGATATAAAGTGGCGCTTCGCCGTCAATATTGTGGTACGATGATGAAAGGTCAAAAGTCCACTGCCACCGTAAGATTACTATCGGTTGCGCTGCAGCGCTTATACACACATGCACACGCATGTTTTTATCCGTGTGCGTGCATGTGTTTATGCGTACGCACGCGTTTTTATGCACATTCATATGAAATTACTTACGCATTGCCGTGTGAACACCACTCACGGTGGCAGTGGGCTTTTGACCTTTGACTGTACATTATGGCTTTGTAAAAAAAGATAATTTTGCTCAACAATAATTACTGTCCCTGTCAATCAATCTTAATTTTCTTACCCCAAATAACTTGGTTGACTGTACATAGCCTCATTTTGAAACCTTCGATATTCACTGAGCCTGAAAATACGGTCTGACTTCAAACTTAGGTTCATCTGATTTGCAATACAATTTTAGACTTAATAGTTGAAGACGGAGGGATTAGAACTGTCTAGAAGTTGTTGCTTTAGAGTATTGATGAAGTAATTTTAGTTTTAGGATTTGGATGTTTTAGTTTCTTATTATTATTAAATTGTTTTTATAATAACTATCGTCAGATAATTATACTAAATTAACTAATAATTGCGGGTTACTCATGTGAGAAAAGGTGGGCTGCGCGACAACGCCGCAGCCGCACACGCTGCTCATGAAGAAGAACCCCTCTGTGGTTCGAAACCAGAAGAGCTTATACCCGCGATTTTTAGTTAAAGAAGTCTAAATTGTTTATAAGGATTATATGCTTGTTTATTTTAATTTTTTGAGTTAAAAATAAATATTTTATGACTGTGTGTTCGTACTGTTATGAACAAGGCCTTATTGTAAATTCTAATCTAATCAATCCTTACATTGTTGTTAACAAAGAACCATACTTATAAATTATATTCTAATCAATCCTTACATTGTTGTTAACAATGAATTACTATACTTTAAATTGCAATCTAAACAATCTTCACATTGTTGGTAACAAAGATCTATAGTTTTAAAATTACCACCTAAACAATCGTTATATTGTTACTAACAAAGATCTAAGCACTCTTACATTGTTATGAACAAAGCCCTATACATGTGAATTGCAATTAAAGCAATCGATACATCCTGTGGCACTTATACGCGCAAGTATAATTTATCGACTAAGGGATAACCCCCCACCATTGGCCATATAGAATAAAATATACGTCTTAGTTGTGTATAGAGTCACTCCAGATAAAGTTATTCAACTATTAACACCGTTTTATATCACACAGTAATCATTGTAAGTCGAAAGTTGTGAAGTGAAAATAAAGAAATTATTAGAAGCACTTGTGGTGTCATTTATAAAAGGGACTCCCGGAGCGCCATCCTAACAGTACGGTATGGAAGCCAAGATGTTATTGAAGTTGTAATTTAATGACTAGCTTGGGTTTAGAAGGTCCTGTAAAGTACTTTGTCGTACAATTAATTTCACTAAAATTGTATCAAATAATCGAAGTTATAGAATAGAAATATATAATTTTATTTACATTTGTTTATCTCTACGTCTGATTAAAATTATATACCTAGTAGATACTATTTTGCTGAAATTCTGTAAAATATAATAATAATACAGAAATTCAAATAACTTGTATTTAATGGAATTAAGTATGGTTCAAAGAATTACAGTCATTATTAATTGTATTGCGAACTTGTATTTATTTGATTGAAATAATGCAAGACTAATCGATTTTATTGTGAATCGAGATTGTTTAATTTATTATTGTCAGTATCGAATATTTATCAAAACCACGATCTTATTTAATGATTGAATGAATTTACAACATCTTTTATATGCATCTATACATAAAAACTAGCGACCCGCCCTGGCTTCGCATGGGAGTAATATGCATGTATTATACACACATACATTTAAACCTACCGTAAGAATCAATCTACCTATTAAAAAAACCGCATCAAAATCCGTTGCGTAGTTTTAAAGACCTAAGGATACATAGGGACAGACAGACGGCGGATAGCGACTTTGTTTTATACTAGGTATGTAGTCATGAAGCCCGTTTCCCGATGTCACACCGTAACTTGAGAACGGCTGGACCGATTTGGCTGATTTTTTTTTAGTTGTGTTTATTATTGTCAGGAGAAGGTTCTTATGATAGAAAAATGTCCTGAAAATCCTACGGGACGGGAGAAAACGGGATTACGCGTACGAAGTCGCGGGCAGAAGCTAGTTATAAATAAACATTCACGCTTGTCAACTTTCATAAAGTTTGGTTAAAGTGGCATCATCATCAACATCACACGGAGAAGGTTTGAGCATTAATCAACACGCTTGCTCAATACGGGTTGGCGATTACAAACTTATAATTAAAATTATAAGCGCAGGTTTCCTCACGATGTTTTCCTTCACCGTTTGTCAGTGGTGTCTAAATAATCTTAGAAAGTACATATAACTCAGAAAAAGTCACATTGGAACTTGCGGTTGGTAGGTTTTGAACCCGCGCCCTCATGTATGACAAGCGGGCATCTAATCCGGGCCATCACGACCTCAGACCATGAGAATATAGTTGAAGATAATGGAATACCGCTGCAGATTTCTGTAAAATAATCTTTTTTCTAATAACCTTCTAGTCTGCCGGTACCTACACCTACATAACAAACACAATTTTGTTATATCAAGTCCTTTATGCTCAACCCAGGCATCGTACACAAGACCTCGCGTGCTAACCACTATCACCGAAACAAGCACACAACATATTAATCTTCATTAATTCCACACTAACGAAGAAATTAACCGGTTCAAACCGGAACTAACTGGATAACCCTATGTGAACGTTAATTACGGATCGCGATTAATGTAACTTAATTAAGTTAAATTATTATTGTATTTTGTAACTTGTACTATCAGTTTAAACACTAGCTTCAGCCTGTGGCTTCGCCCGCATTCCCGTA